GTGAAAATATACATAGTGGATGGCAAGTATCTCTTCATGTGTTTGTTAGCTGCCTGAATTTCCTCTTTGGTGGAGTGCCTGTTCATGTCCTTTGCCCATTTTTTGATTGGATAATTTGTCTTTTTGTTGTTGAGTTGTTGAAGTTTTCTATATATTTTAGAGTTAGACCCTTGTCAGATATGTTGTTGCTAAAGATTTTTTTTCCCAGTTTGTAGGTTCTCTTTTGGTAAAGTCTTTTGATGAGCATAAATATTTAATTTTTAGGAGATCCCAATTATTTAATTTATCTTCTGTTGTTCACGCATTTGTAGTTGTGTTGGTAGTCTATTTATGCCAAAAATTAGGACCCCTAGTTTTGTCTCTCTTGTATCTTCCAGTAACTTCATAGTTTTAGCTTTAACATTTAGGTCTTTGAACCATTTTGAGTTAGTTTTTGTGTATGGTGTGAGGTATGGATCCTGTTTTATTTTTTTGCAAATGGATAACCTGTTTTGCTAACACCATTTGTTAAAGAGACTGTTTATTCCCCCATTGAATGGACTTCAACCCTTTGCTGAAGATCAGCTGCACATAGATGGATGGATTTACTTCTGGGTTCCTCATTCTATGCAATCTGCATTTTTAACAAGTGTTACAGGTGATTCTGGCGCACACCCGAAGTTTGAGAAGTACTGATTTGAGGGGTTTAGAATATTTGGAGTTGGGACTACCCAAGAAAATTGAAACAATCTGATCACAGCCTTGTGACAACTTTAGCCACAGCCAGTGAGGGACTGTGTGAAAGAGAAAGGAGCCAGGCCCTCTCCTACCCTGTCCCTTTGACCCCATTAGCATAACCATGGGAGATGTCCCTACCTTCTTCCCTCTGCTTGGAGCCAGGCAGGGGTGAGGCACTGGGAGGGGAGGGGCAAAGATGGGCTTACAGCTGAGTGTGCTAGGGAGAGAAGAATTGCTCCTAGGAGGGGGAAGGAAGGGGAATCACTGCCCCCACCAGCACGTCTTTTCAGGTGAAATCAGGTTACAGTGAACAGGAGCAGCCAGAAAGGGGAAGAGGCAGCAGCATGTCCAGGAGAAAAGGTAGAAGGATTAGTGGGAGGCTCTTTGCTGTGCCTCAGGAGTCTCTCTCTCTTTTTTCTCCCTCCTCATTCCAGAAGGGATTTGAGGCAGCTTATAAGAAGGCTTACCAAAAAAAAAAGAATGCATACAATACTATGGGATATAAAATAAAAAAGAAATCAGAATAGAAGGAAAATCAAAGTAGAATAGTGAGTAGAGGAAAAGTTAGTACCCAAAAATGTTTGATGAAAGACCCTGTCTTAGTCATCTAGTGCTGCTATAATAGAAATGCCACAAGTGGATGGTTTTAACAAAGAGAAGTTTATTTCCTTACAGTAAAGGAGGGTAAAAGTCCAAATTCAGGGTGTCATTTAGCTCCAGGGGAAGGCTTTCTCTCTCACTTGGCCTTCTCATCAGTGTTCCCCCGGACTAGGAGCTTCTCAGCACAGGGACCCCGGTCCAAAGGACGCGCTCTGCTCCTGGCACTGCTCTCTTGATGGTATGAGGTCCCCCTGTCTCACTGCTCACTTCTGTCTTTTATATCTCAAGAGATTGCCTCAGGACACAATCCAGTCTTGTGAATTGAGTCCTGCCTCACTAATACAACTACCACCCATCCTCCCTCATTAACATCACAGAGGCAGGATTTACAACATATAGGAAAATCACACAATACCGGGAATCATGGCCCAGCCAAATTGATACACACATTTTTTGGGGGACATAATTCAATCCATGACAGACCCCTATCATGATTCCTGAAATGCAACATGGAACTTGGCTTGAGCTTCCAAGCAGCCAAATGGAACAGAGAAACTGTTTCAAGGTTTATTCTCCATATCAATTCCTCTGGGAATTCCTTTTCTTGACTCTGAAGTTTAAGAGAAATTTCTCCTATGGGCCCTAGTGGACACTAGCCTCAAACATGTGCCAGTAACCCAAAAATGCAATCATAGCTGCATGGCAGGATTCCTCGCTACAAGCCAAGGAAGGATACAATGCCAAGCTCGATCCATTATAAGTGATGGTAGAGTTTTGGGGTGATAATTATAGGCTGATTGTGTGAATATGAACCCCTCTCCTGCACCGCTGGCCTCCTGGGCCCCTTGTGGGATGGGGCTCTAAGGCAGTGGCCCTCTGTCTCAGGACACCCTGGAGAAGTGTGGCAAGTGTGCAGAGGTGGTCCGGGAGCATATCATCAGGGCCCTGGGCCAAGCCTTCCATCCCAGCTGCTTCACATGTGTGACCTGCGCCCGGTGCATCGGGGATGAGAGCTTTGCCCTGGACAGCCAGAACGAGGTGTACTGCCTGGACGACTTCTATAGGTACAAGAGTGGCCCGCACACTGGGTGGGGCAGGGAGGACAGGCTGGGGCTCCAGCAGAACACAGGAGCTGAACCTGAGTGCTGAGGGGCTGGGTCAGAGCTTTCCGGCAATCTCTGGGCTTGGAGGAACTGGGCCTTCCTATTCCACGTTCACGTATGTGACCATGCATCTGCTTGCAGCTCACGTTTTTTGAGCACCCGCACTGTGCCAGGCACTTTACTTGGGGTAGGCCATTTCATCCTCAAAACTGTCCTGCTGGGGAGGTACTGTGAAAGTTCCCTTTTTACCAACATTCCCAGCTGGTAAGTGTTGGGCTGCAATTCAAACCCCTGTCCACCTGACTGCCGGGCCTTGCCTCGTAACCCACACACCACAGCACCTCCCCTCTGCGCCTAGGAGGCCATGGGAACATGGGTATCCATGAAACTCTGTCCTTGTCTTCAAGTGGCTCACTGCCCAAGGGGAGAGACAGATGTGCCTATTAAAAGAGAAAGAGAGAGAGAGAGAAAAGG